GCGTTATGCAAATCTTCCCACATAGTGACGTAGACATGTGGGGGCATGCTAGAACGAGCCGTTTTAGGTAGGCGTGGTTGACTCTTAACTTTTATGAAGAATATCTCTTTGGATTTGAGACTTTAGTCTTTGCAACTTTACAGATCTTCTTTATGCACCAAGAGCTTGTAACACTCCAAAGAGAAAGGACACATTTTAATCGCATCATATGACCCCTTTAACAATTAATAATATTGCATCAAAACATATTATCAGAATTTTATTTTTTTTATTATATATTTACAATATTTTATCAATAACACCAATCAATTGATGTTACATCTCTTAGATTTTGGGTATTTTGGTTCGGTGGATGCGGAGATATAACATTAGAAAGAATTCAATTGATTTGTGTGTAACTGTTGTTTTACAACATCTTCAAATGTGTCAGATGTTTCAGTCATCATTTTTGATTAAGTGAAGAAATGTTATTCCTAGCAGTGCGTTTTTTTTTCTTAGATAAATGCTCTCAAGTCAGATTTACAGCCAATCAAAGATGAATGGGCTCACTTTGAATCTAAAATGAGTGCAGCAGAACTGCGAACAACCAGGGTGGTCTACAAGCTGGAGCTCTGCAGAGTTCCTGTGTTCTCATCTGAGCAGAGCCGAACTCATGTGGAGCACCTGCAAGTGAGTAAACGACTCTAAATGAAATCATTCCACTGGATAAAAGATTGGAAATGTTGTGCTTTTTCTAAATTGTAAGGTTGTTAAGGGTCAGTGTATCTTTTGGTCATTTTTTTAATTTATTTTTTTTATATTGAAAGTAGAAAATGAGAAAACGGCTCCTCTTTCTTTTTTTTTAATGATTTTCTTTCAATATTAAATAAAAAATCAAATGACCAAAAGATACACTGACCGTTAACGTTATAAACTTCAATGTTTAAACACCAATTTTATTCTCCAAACATGACAATTCACATAATATAAATATTCAACATTGCCATTACTGTTAGCAGTGTGATTTATTGGGTATTATATTATTATGCTTCTTAACAGGAGCTTGAAAGGGAGCTGAACCAATCAGAGACCTGGACCCAGTTAACTAAGGTGTTCTCTAACTTGAAAGACAAACTCAACCCTTATGCGTCTAAACTTTTGTCTGATCGTCTCGAGAAGGAGACAACTCGGTAAGTAATTTTACTTTACACATACTTCACCTACTTTAATTCACCGTTTAAACTGAAATTACACTTTGAAAGCTACTTTAAAATGGTAGCGTCTTTATAAATTAGCTAATGAATCTGTTTATTTGATAGTTTAGTTGAGTGAATCATTTATTAAAGATGAATAATGCAAAAACAAACTGATTCACTAAAATGAATCAGACTTTGCGATGCAAAGAGGGAACAGAACATGCTTGATTTTTAAGTTTGTCTGGACCTATGTGGGTATTAATGTTGTTTTCTTTTCAGACATCAAGCAGTGACTGAAGATGTGCATGCAGATTTACTAAAAGCCCAGAATGCATTGCGGCTTTGGCTGGAACACGAGCACCTCACAGGAGAGTGCTGTGTTCATCTAAATCAGCACTGGGAGAGGCTTGGAGAGCTTATGAGTTCTTCAGACAGAGAAGAAAACACTGTAGAGCTGCTCAACAGCAGGATGCAGGGCATCAGTGTGAGTAATTAATAGTATCTAGGCCCCTTTAACACCTGGCATTAGGATGTGTTTCCTATCCAGATAGCATCTGGATATTCTATAGCTGGAGAGAATTTACTTATTCATTTCATCCACATCTCCAGTGTTACCAGACAGAGGTTTGATCACACTTACCCAAGAAATGGAACATGCCAATTGCATATAACTTCAAATATTGTTAATTAAATGAGATAGTAATTTTAGATTTTAACTCTGTGATTATTGGCATCAATTACCTAAAAATGCATGCTAATGCCAGGAGAGAGCTCAGTGCAAATGAGAAATCAATCGAAATACAATAGATCAGAAGTACAGAACACAATCAAGTACATAAGTAAAAGATTAGTGGTCAACAAAAGGGATTACAACAACAACCCTTAAAGCATACTAAACCCATACAATTCACAGCAATAATGATGCACAGAAATATTTTTATGTTAAACTGCTTGTTTGTAAATATAAGGTGCTGGTTTTGTATAATTTTTTAGTAATTTGTAATAAAATGCAAAGCAACAATGCACAGTGAAAAACCAGACCTAAATAATAGCCAATTTCAGCATGTACTTGTTAAGTGCTAAAGTGTTCTAGTCCTACAGATGGGTTTGCAGTACTTCAGTCCAGTTGTGCTTTTGAAAAGAAGGAACATTGAGATCTGAGCTGGAGCTTTTCTCTGTGGGCTAAAAATACCAAATGAGACCTGTGATACTCTTACCAAAAAATGTTCAACACAGAAGAACATAGAATCATAAATCAGTTCTTATTCAATTTGTTTAAATTGGCTTTTTTTTCCCTTAAAATGCATACACACAGTTTCTTAAACTTCAAAAAAATAAATAAAAGATGAGCTTATAATTGCTGTTTAAACTTAAACACAAACAAATAATATTATATCTAACAGATGTTAATAATCAATAAATATTTCATAACTAATTTTTTGATCGTCTGAATAATGCGTCTATAAAATTATATTTTTGAATAATTTTATGTGTCTATAAAATGAAAATAAATAAAATAATGAAAAAAGCAAAATTAGTTTTATTTATTTACTGTTTTTATTATTTAATGTTTTTTTAGTAGCTGCCGTATTTATTTAATAAATGTTTTTTCCTACCCTCTACTGATTCCGTCTTAACTTTAAAAAATAGATATCAGTGGCTCACTTACAAATTGAAGGTTGCATGTATTTCATCAGAAATAAAGAAAAAACTGTAACATAGTTAAATATTTTTTCAATTAATAACAATAATAATAATAATTTCTATAAAAAAAAATATTTAAAAATGTAATTTGTTCCTGTGATGGCAAAGCTGAATTTTTAGCATCATTACTCAAGTCTTCAGTGTCACATGATCTTTCAGAAATCATTCTAATATGCTGATTTGCTGCTCAAGAAACATTTCTTAGTATTATCAGTATTTCAAATAATTGTACTGCTGAATATTTTTCCAGATTCTTTAATGAATAGAACTTTCAAAAGAACAGCATGTAATTGAAATTGAAATCTTTTGTAACATTATAAGTGTCTTTACCATCACTTTATATCAATTTAATGGATCCTTGCTGAGAAAAAAATATTACAAGTCATTAAAAACACAATTTTATGACATGATAAATTATGTAATTTCCTTTGTGGTTCTTCTAACCCAGTGTCTAAAAACAATGTCTTTCACAGGCTCTGGAGAAAGACATGCCTGCCTTGCAAAGCAGTGTGGGAAAAGTCCTGGAGGCATCAAAGCTTCTCACTGGACATGTGAAACCCCAGTCAGCCCCTCTAATCAAATCAGAAACCAGGCTGCTGTCACGTGACCATGTGTATCTTGGCAAGGCACTTTCTGACATTGGGGCACAAGTTCAGGTAAGAGCGACAAGTTGATATCTTTAAAAGACTAAATAAACATTTAAAGTCATTTGATTGATCTGCCGACCGATGACAAACATTTATACAACGTCCTACACAAGTGTTGTGCTGTTCTTTATCCATAGGAGGAGCTGGAGGAGCACTGCCGTTTCAGCACTGAGTTGAAGTCAATGGAGCAAAAGCGTAAAAACTTTGAGAGTGTTATGAGCTCCTCCGCTGCAAGCATGGAAAGACTAAAGGTGAATCTGTGGCACTTCTTTCATTGATTGTTTTCATTGATTTTCTTTTTATCCTCTTTGTGTTTTAGAGCAAACTAAAAGGTTACAGTTTGATTTTATGTAAATCTTTCTCTCTTTTTCCGTCTCTAAGATGGTTCTGTTAGATCTGAGTGGGCTGAACCCTAACCTTGCTGCTCTGAATCAGACGAGTTTCGGACTCTCCTTAAGCTCTGCAGAGGAGGAGAGGTTACAGACCCTCAACACACAGTGGGTTCAGGTCTTCTCTCAGGCCACAGACCGACACAGGCAAGTCAAACTTCACTAAATTAAAGCTGTTTGATTCTCAAACATTTTGATTTAGCCCGAAATAGACTTGATTCCATATATCTTAGTAAAAGGGATAGTTTACCTAAACATGAGAATTTTGTCATTTACTCATCCTCAGGTTGTTTCAAACCCTTTTAAAGCTCTCCTGTTGTGTTCCATCGGGGGAAAAATACTGGTTTGGAACAACATGAGGGTGAATTTTTGGATGAACTATTACTTGAACACTTTTTTCCAAACTTTTTACACCCTAGAATTAGCTGTAACTAAACTGTCTGGTGAATGCCAATGCACATCTCTGTCTGTAGGAAGATGAATGGAGAGCTGCTGCATGCTCAGAACTTCCAGCAGAAGTGCCAGTGCTGGATGGAGCTCCTAGACAAAATCGAGGCTGGGTCATCCAATCAGATGTCTGGAAACTGTGCTGCTGTAAGGGAGCAGCTAGCTGCACATCAGGTAGAGCATACAGTTATGAAATCCAATAGAAAATTATTTTCTAATATTTAGTTTCATCATGTGAATCCTAATGCTTCATAATGACCATGTGCACTTGCATAACATATTCCATATTCCATAAGATCCTGTTCTGATAAATCTTTATTCTAAAACAATACTATTGGAATATTTGTGGCATTTGTAATCTAAATCTTTTTTTTTCTCCTCATTTTGCTTGACACATTTCCAATGTTTATATCATATAGCACATAGAATAACTTGTATTTAGACATGCATAGATATAAATATTACATTATGGATATGAAAAAGACAAAGAATTGCAAGTTAATGCTAGCTATGATTTATAGAAACCAGAATTTTGACTTAATCATTTCATGGCATTAATACTATTAATACTACATAAGTTACTTATGCTATTAAGGTTTGGGGTTGATGATGAGTGTTTTTTTTTGTTTGTTTTTTACATTTTAAGTGTTTTATGCTCACCCAGGCTGATTTATTTACGCAAAAATACAGTAAAATCAGTAATACTCTGAAATAATATTACAATTTAAAGTTAACTGTTTTCAATTAAAAATTGAAAATGAATTTTCAGCAGCCAGTACTCCATTCTTCATTGTCACATTAAACATTTATGATTATTATCAATGTTGAAAACCGTTGTACTGCTTAATATTTTAGTGATATTTGTATTTCAGGATTCTTGATTAATAGAAATATATAGAAATAACATAATTTGAAATATAAATCCTTTGTAACATTATATATGTTCCCTAACTCTTTTTAATAAAATAAGAGCAACAGGAACTTTTGGTTATAGAGTATTGTGTAATTTGTTTTTGAAATGGTTGAACAGGGCTAATTTATTCATATATTAGTAATAAATCTTCCAGAGGCTGAAAGTGGAGGTCCTCATCAGCCAGCAGCTACAGGATGCCATGGTCAGTGAGGCTTCACGCTTCTTGGAGAGCTGTCAGAATGAGGACAGGTGAGCATTTATAACACTACACTCAATAACTTTTTCCCTAATACTCGGTAACCTCAGAATTTTCTTACTAACCTCCAGTGTGGGGCTCTGCCATGGATAAGAAATCAAAGAATGTGGTGTAATAATTTGTTCAGAACAGGATGTCTCCCAATGAGTAATTAAAAACGAGGTTTTCCAACTGTTTTGTTTTTTCACGGGCTCCATATGAGGCCATAACTCTTGGAGTTATGTGGTGTGGAAGAGCTCTTTTGAGCTCAGCACTGGAACAAGCTGGCTCACTCTCAGGAAATGAAACTGCATGTGCTACCAGCATGAAATCATTTTTGCTTTTCAGCCGATAAGTGCTGCTTCAGGTGGAACTCCTGCATGGTTTCATTCAATATGTTTCTTGGGCCGTTTTTTTTTTTTCAATGGCAGGAAAGAATGTCTTGTAGAGAGCCACATAAAATGTGGTTGGTTTTATTTTTCAGATGTCTGGCAAAGCTAATGGCCAGTGAAATTGCAGTTTGTTTTATGACATTAACATCTCTATTATGTGTTGCTCATCAGTTGTGACATGGTCTCTTTAAAAAAAAAAAATCTGTTAAACCACAATTTAAAAGGATAGTTTACCCAAAAATGAGAAATCTGTCATTCTTTACTCACCTTAATGTCGTTCCAAATCCGTAAGACTTTTGTTCAGTTTTGAAACACAGAAGTATTTGTATTGAAATCTGAGAGATTATGGACATTGACAGTCCATTCACACAAAACTTTCATGATTCAAAATGTTCATAAAGGGACTGTAAAAGAAATCCATATGAATCGAACAATGTAATCCAAGTCTTTTGAAGAGACATGATCGCTTTATATGATGATCGATACATATGGATTCATTTTACAATATTTTTATGAACATTTTGAAGTGCCAAAGTTTTGAGTTAATAAACTTTCAATGGAGGGACAGAAATGGTTCAGGTTTCATTAAAAATATATTTTTTTTCTTCTGACAACGGCTGAAAATCGAATGGGTTTGGAATGACATGAGAGTAAGTAATTGGTGATAGAATAATAATTTTTGAGTGAATTAAACTTTTAACCTGAGTAAATGTTCTTCACTTTGATAACTTTTGACTGAATTTACCTTTAACAAATCATGAAAATGTTGACGAACAAATTCCATTGTGAGCAGGAGTCATCTGATCCTGAGACTCACCCAGCTAAAGGCACGATGGCAGGGGACACAGCAGAGGGTCCAGCAGCATGGCAAAAGTCTGGAAGGGCTGATAGGACGGTGGCAACTCTATGAGACCAGCTCGAGGAAACTTTCAAAGCTACTCAGACACATCGAAGAACTTCTGCCACCAGCAGGACTGGCGTCATGCAGCTTACAGCAACTCCAATGCTCTATAAAAGACTTTGAGGTAAGATTATTCAGTCAAGAGAATATAATGGTCTTTTCAACTCTTTCAGATGCTGATGTTGGACTTCAAAGTCTAATCCAACACCGTCATTAATATCTTTCATGTTTTCTATCTCACAGTGGACAGCGGAGCAACTACAGCTTCATGAAGAACTGTACAGGCAGACTGTGGCGGCAGGCGGACAGATCCTTCCGCTATCAGATGTGCAGACGCAGACACGCCTGCAGACTGAACTGGATGCTCTCAAGGAGATGTGGGAGCGAAGCTGTGGCCTTGTGGGGAAAAGAAAGGCTCTTGCAGACACCATAACTCATGTATGTGACC